GACAACGTCGCGACCACCCGCAGAAGAAGGTACATCGACGCAGAGGTACACGTCAGCAACGTAGCATAACCTCAGTCTTAACTTACGTTTCAACGACAACGACCACATTACTCAAGTCAATAAAAGTCCTGTCAAGTCATTAATCAGTTTATACTGATGCTCAATGAAGTTTGATAAAAAAAAGCAAAAAAAAGAGAAAAAGAGCAAACATTTGGATAAGTTGACTCTTTTCGCAGCTTAAAAATATATGTACAAAACCTGACCTTTCCTGTATGTGGTTTACCGCACGATAATTATGAATCTTGCCCCCATTGATTATACAATGGTAAAGTATTTGTCGATCGGCTAAAATTTATTTTAAATACAAATTAAATAAACCTGTGCACTATTTCAATAAATTATTTATGAAATTTAATTTCAAAGCAGTTCCGCTTGAAAATTCTTCATACATGAGACATGCAGTTTACTGTAAATGTGGTTACAATCAGAGAAGTTAATTTTCGCTACTGCTGGTTAGAATATCACATCGTTTGCTTGTTTGCATCGTCCCTTGATTCTAGAGGTCTAGGAAACTTTGCAAGGCATGTCAGTGTTATATGGTACCTGAACATCTTCAGTCCACGAACATAGTATAATATCATTGCATTGGGCTGTACGCAACTACTTCAAAGGAGATACAAGAAATACATTTATCTGCAACGTATTTCCAGATATTAGCCAGATGAGCAGAATTTTGTTAATATATGTGCACATGATCACAAATGAAATGATCACTCACGCAAAGTTACACTGGTAAGTCAAACAGGTTGTTGCTAGACTAAAAATACTGCCTTAAACACGTCGGCTCGTGATTTGTTGAAAATGCATCCTAAGCCTCTAAGAAGCAACGGGCGGTGCGATGAAGTCATATAAACGGAGAAATAACATGGACATGCCCGTCTTCATGACGATAGTATTTATTGAGTTGTATCTGCGTATTAATGAAAATTGTCCAAGACGCGAGACAAAGGTGGAGAGTAGTAACCAAAAGCATTTCAAACGGATCGGAAGAAACAGAAAGGCCTAGCAAAATCATAACGGTCGCCATTTCCTACGTTTAGCTCAAATCGAATTACACCACATCGCACCACTGAACGATGGATTACGGTGATGACGATTATTTCCTAAAGGACTACAAGCGCTGTACTGCAAGACCTCGGCTCAGATGGAACGATGAGCTAAAAGTAAGATATGGAGATATATACACATTGACTAGTAGCGCATTACTGACTTCTCGAAACGTACGGCTGACGGCGATCGCGGTTGGCGAAGTTGTCGCTGTCTGCAACCACCCATGCGGGTCGAACCGTAAAGCCATATGACATCTTTACTATTCAGAGAATGCCAGCAGCATCTTGGCAAACTCCTCCTAGACAAGGCTCGAAACGTTGCTAGTGGTCCATCACAGAACAACTGATGTGCTTTTGTATACTTTATACAAGTTTTTAAGCTGCCTTTCCGCATTTACCGACGAACGTTACGGCGTTGTTGTCATTCGTTCTCAACCGCTAGCAAATTTTCAACAACGCGTCTCGTCAAAATGTCTGATGCAGCAACGAAGTGATCCAGATGAATTTCTTCCAAATCACCGGGTTACAGCTTCACTCTACCAGAAAAAGTTTCTACTAGTTGAACTCTTCACTTTCCACATATAACGTATTGAACTTTCTTCTCATTAAGATGCTTCTTGCAGCTTACTCTACTGACTTAGATACAATATACAACACTAACATACAGGTTTGCATCACGTAATGTACGCAAACAGTAAGACACGACGCACATGTAAAATTCGTTTTGATTCAGCACCACGCGCGTTATAATAATGATATTCCAACTAACTGGTCTGTGGCGCCAGGTGTACGGTAATAACGAATGGAATTCAGTAGCCGACGATAAATTAGCTACCTTTTTCATTACTGTAAAATGATCGTTTGTTTTTCTTTATCATTAAGACTGCTGTTGTACGAGTGAACATCGATGCGTTGGAGATATAAACAAAAAACGACTTCATCGCAAGCGAGTCCGCAAAAGCATTGAAACCTAGCAATTAAACTGACAGTAAACCCATAACCCCAAGTGAATTTATTTACATAAAGTTTCAGGATCGAGATATATCCGTTGGCATTCCAGCAGGTCATTATTCGTGCTAATAAAATGATGCGGATTTGGGCCCATGCACTGCACGTGCTAAATTGATGTGGCGTGCTGAAACAAGGGATCGTACGAATTCGGACAGGTGATAGAGAATAACACAAAATATTCAGTATTAAAATTTGACTATCGCTTTGAGCCAAAAACTAACAAATCCGAGTATAACCCGGATTATCGGTAAGAGACGATGCTTGCAGTGTACGTACCCGTAAGTAAAATCCATAGATAAGTGACGCATTTGGTAAAAATAAAAATTTAAAAAAAAAGTAATTAAATGTCACAGGATTAAGGGACGTATCAAACAAGTGAAAATATTAAGTATTAAGCTAGTCGCAATGTTGTCCAGTGAAATATGCACGCGGGGATTACAGGCCAAAGCCAGGAGAAGAAAAGGGTAGAAGAACGTCAGAAGTCCGCAATTCGAAACCGTCAGTTATTCAGCAATTGGATAAAAAGAAAAATCTTAACTCCGCAATTGGTTTCAAATAAACATGAATACACAGCAATTCCTGAAGCTGAATAGGCTATATATTTTCAATTATGAAGATGTATTGAAGTTTAAGCAATTAAGGGCGTCTACGGAAAAAGTTTTCGAGCTGGGTCAATAGGCTACAAAAACTGGAGACACTTAATTTTATTGCTCATACATAAAACGGAACAATGGCTTCTTAAAATGTGAGGTATTTTTTTATAAAAGGAGCACAGTCTGCCATAGAACAAAAAGCGAAGTGACAGAAAAAGAACAGCTATTCCAGAAGTTTAATAATTTAATTAAGTCAGCATCTCAAGTTTTGTCTGAGTGATAATTTTCGTTGTCAGACCCACGTCAAAGAAAAAGTATAACAGACAGACATCACATACCTGCGCCACTCCGCTATTTAAACTCCACTAGCCTTCGATGAAGATGTTAAAACGACAACAATATTACAACAGAGCAACCAAAACAGGGGATCACTTGTAGATGGAAGGCAGTAAGGCGAAGTTTCTACTAGCTTCATTCATCGCTGAAAAACAACAGAGTCTTCCACTTGTAGCATAGCTCGACTGCAAAAGAATACCAAAATGCTTAAGATGAATTTACGCGGATGCTATCACGATCACAGGCTGTACCGGAGAGATGCACTGACCTCTCAACCAATGAATAAGGAAACATTACGATAATGGTGATGATCACGTATATAGAAGAACCCTGTGCGGTCAACAGCTACCATATCCATTAGTCTTCTTTTAATAAATATGCAGCACGCGGCCAGCAGTTGATTAAAACAAACATAAGGTCAGAAACCTACTTGCACAATGGAAACTTAAGAATCAGTTGGTAGTTACCGAAACGGCTAACCGAGGCAATACTTGACAGAAAACAGGTATATCTTTGAATAGTAACGCGAAATACTTCACAAGAAAACGATACTCGGAAAAAATGACGACTCTAGTGCAGTGAGTAAACATGCGAGGTAAATGTATCTCGAAGAGCTAGTTCAACGTACAGCCACACATCGGACGGGCGGGCTGACACTCGTTCGTGAGGGCGAGCTGAGGTACTTGCTGAACAGAGGTTAATGTTATGCC